CGCCCCAATTTCCTCCCTTTAAGGCCTAATTCTTGGTATCACTGCCCAACCAGAATCCCCTCTCCAGACTGAAGCTGGCACCAGCAACAAACAGCCAAGTGATGGGCTGGATGCCGGGAGGTCAGGAGGCCTGGGACCCTGAGAGAGGCACAAGCAAGATACATCACCAGAGCTTTATTGCGGGCCAAGAGGCCTGCCACAAACACCCCCAAAGGCAGAACCCAGGTACTCAGGGCCCCTCCCGTTGGGGCCAATACCCTGACCCCAACTAGAGAGGGACCATCAACAGCGCCGTCATCTGCCCATCTCAACAATTTCCAGGCAAGCTGGCAACAGAATGGGAAGGACATGTCACAGAAGGGTAGCAGTTTCTGAATTTGGGGACCTGGGGTCCTGGTGCCATCACAGACCAGGTAAGGGCACAACGACGGGGAGGAGATGGGCTCAAGGCCTAAAGGCTTCCAGCAGGGCCCCACTGCTGTCCAGGTCAGCAGGACAAAGAAAAGGCTCCCAGAGAGCTGGCGTGCTTGGGCTCCTGGATGGAAAGGCAGGACAGTCGGATCTTGGGATTCACACGAGTCAGAAGAGTCCGCTCCCCGCACTGGAACCGCTGTAGCTGAGGTGGCTCTGAGATGGGACGAGAGGAAAGAGATGGCCTGGGCATGTGGTTTGTTTGCCCGACCCACCGTTCTTTTCCCCAACTCTAGACACCCTCCCATTGATCGATCGCACGTCCATCTTCCTCCTGGGACCCCTCTAGCCACGTACCCCCTCCCTCCCGTACCTAACGGGATGACCATAGAAGGTTTCCTCTCAAGCTCAAAAGAAAGCACAACAGGCCGGAGAACAGAGAAGCTGGTACACAGTGTCCGGAGGAAGAGGGTCAAGGGCTCATCCACCTTGGTGGAAGACTAGAAGAGGAAACTGAAGATTAATCAGAGTTCTAAATTTTTTTTTTCTTCATAACTCAGATTCTTAAACTCTCTACCAAACCCCTTGGGAATCTGGGTTTCACAGTCCCACCTCCCAGCCCCGTCTCACCTCAGGCTGGGCTCCAGGACCTGTAAATTGCAAGGCCACCTTCCCCGGCCCTCGGACAGACTCCAGGAGGGAAGTCCACTCACTGGGACACAGACCCAGTACTGTTGCCACGTGATGATTCCTACAGGTCACCACGGCTTCGGCAGTCCCATCCTCCACCAGGAGCCTGGGGAACGGAGGGGCCGCAGAGAAATAGAAACTTCCACGGCAGACCCAGGTGGCCAGGCGGCTCCAACATGCCTCCCTCCCCACCACTTCCCAGTATGACTCATTTGACTTTAACCCGTTCACCCTCAAAGACTTACGAAGCCATTCCCGCAAGCCAGGAACTATGCCAACAACAGGCCAGCAGACAGACCACGTGACAGGGAAATAAATGGCGCAGCGGGTGCCCACCTTGTGCTCTCACCTGATGCTGGCCTGGCTTATAGATGTCTGTGTGGGGCAAGTGGAGCCCTGACGAGTGCACCTTCCCTGGGACAGAGACAGTGGTTGGAAAAACACTCTGGGTCCCCTCACACCCGTCTGGACCCCTGCACCCTGCTCAGCCTGGGCCCTCCCATACCTGGGGACAGAGGCTGGTACAGTGAGCACACACCCACAGGAGCTGAAGGCTGAAGACGGAAACAATATGGCAAGAGGTACTGGCCTGGAAGGGGGGCCGGCCATCCTGCAGGAGTTCAGCCAGGAAGATGTGGGGCAGGGGAGCACTAGAGAGAGAGAGAGAGAGAGAGAGAGAGGAGTCAAGGAGAGCCAACTGTCCTGAAAGTGCACGATGTCTGGCAGGACTGGGCAGGCACAGGGATGGGGATGGGTGTGAGTTCTGTGCTCTCCGGGAAGCTTCATGGCTTCGTTCTGAATCCCGACCTCTGACCATCCGTTATTCCTCAGAGGCCTAGAACATTACATCTTTCTGGGCAAAATAATGAGCATCAGGCATTTTCACCTGGGGCAGAGAGAACCCTTCTGACTCAACTTGTTCTCCTAGGAGTGGAGAACACCAGTTAAAACGGCAAAAATCCCAAAGCCGGGACCACATATAGGACGTGGGTTCGAGGATGTGAAGTGTGGGGAGGAGGGCCCAGGCCACTGACCTGATTGCGGTCTCGGGGGGGAAACTCAGGACCTGCAGGTAAGTGGACGGCCGGAAACAACAGTAAATATTGTGGAATCTGCAAGTGCAGGAGGCAGAGTGAAGAGGAAAGGAAAGAAGTCAATTTGAGGCAGGAGCTGCGGCCAGATCATAGGCTTAGACCCCCACCGCCACCTCCTCCCCCGGCAGGCTGTGCCCTGGGGTAAGCAGAGGGAAAAATTAGGGCAGGAGTGGCCTGGAGCATCTCGTGAGGGCAGAGGGCACACACGTAAGGCTACACAGCGAAGTCCAATCAAAGAGGAGGTGTGAAAGCACGGTGGCGGGGCGGGAAGGAGAGCAGTGGGGAGAGGAAGCCGACCAGTGTCCCCGATTCTCACCTGGAAATCTTCTTCTCCAGCTGGCCGAAGTAGGCTCGGGCTCCCGGCAGGAGTCCTAGTGGGGGAGGCAAGTGTGGCTCTTTGATATAGATGTCTAAGTGTGGGCGGCATGGGCAGTCAGCGTCCTCCACGGCCACGGTCAGCTTCACAGATGCTCTCGAGGTCCGAGTGCCCCCTGCAGAAGTCCAGGGAAAGGGTAAGGGGCATCTGCCAGGACCCCAGAGTCCCATCACTCAACTTCACACCTTCCCCCAAAGGAGGCATCATTACCAGGCTTTGCCCAGAAAGGGGCCGGAAATGGCTCACACAGGCTCCGTGACAAGATCTCAGCTGAGAAAGACACCAGGCAATCTGCGGAGCTGTAGGGTCACAGAAGCACAGTGATAACAGGCGTCAGAAAGCAGAGACTGGAGAGGGGTCTGAGGGACAAAAAAAGGAGCTAAAGCATCTGCCGGAACGTCATCTAACGTCCTAAAAAAAAGCCTTGCCCTGCAATGTCATGCCCTAAAGGACGAGGGCAAGCGCCTGGGGGTGCAATCAGTTTAAGTGTCTGACTCTTGACTTTTGGCTCAGGTCATGATCTCAGATCCTGATCAAGCCCTGCAGTGGGCTCCGGGCTCAGCAGGGAGTCTGCTGGGGATTCTCTCCCCTCTGCCCGCCCCCACCCCTGGAAAACCCCCACCCCCATCATGGGCTCAGGCACGCTCTCTCGCAAGTAAGTAAATAAATCTTAAGAAGGAAAAAAAAAAGCAACAGGCCTTATAGGAAAAACAGAGCCACAGCAGATCACTGAAAACCTACACCACGCCGTAAGCAGAGGCCTCACCCGGAGGCACAGCGGACGTCACAGCTGCGGCCCACCACAGGCAGCTTGGTATGCTGGCACTCATGCCCACGCCTGCCCATCATGGGTCCTTGGAAACAATCCTTTCTACTAGAGACACGTTTTGTAAAAATCACACATACAGGGGCGCCAGGGCGGCTCAGTGGGTTAAATAAGCCTCTGCCTTCGGCTCAGGTCATGATCTCGGGGTCCTGGGATCGAGCCCCGCATCGGGCTCTCTGCTCAGCGGGGAGCCTGCTTCCCCCTCTCTCTGCCTGCCTCTCTGCCTGCTTGTGATCTCTCTCTCCTTCTGTCGGATAAATAAACAAAATCTTAAAAAAAAAAAAGTAGTTAAAAATCACACATACAATCCAATAAGGCTCCTTTTTTTTTTTTCTCAACAGAGGGGAAATCTGTGGCGTCCGAGCCTGCACTGGCAGCTGCCCTGAAAGGCCAGAACAGCCGTGCCTGCGGCCTGGAGCCGGCCGCTGCGCGCACTGAAGGGGAAGGCCCTTCTCTACAGATTCCACCTTTGTCTTTTTTTTTTCTCTTTATACTTCCCTTCATTGCTATAGCTTTCCCTTCATTGTGAGAAACCTTGCTCGTGATCTTTTCAGAACACTGAGCTGCTAGGGGAAAACTCAGGCATGAAACACAGCTTCCTGGTCACGGGGACGTCACCCCCCTAGGAACTGAATCCCGACAAAGACACAGGCGCCACGGTGGGGAGCGGACTGCTCACCAAGCCCCATGCCGGCGGGACAGCGCGGCCGCGGAAGCTGGAGAAGCCGGCGGACATTTACTTGCCACTGAGCAGGTCGTCCATCGAGGTCTTAGGCAGGGCCCTGCTGGTGTCCAGCACAGCCGGGACGTCCGGGCCGCTCTCGAGCTCCAGAGTCCATGCCTCCTGCACCGTGAGGCAGGACGCATAGCCGGCCAGCTCCAGGGGACGCTGTGGGATGCAGGATGGCCCGCCCTCCTCAAACAGCAGCGGGGTCTGCAGGGAACAGGAGGACAACCCTCCGAACGTGTCCTGCTCCAGGGGCGGGCCACAGAACACGTGGACCTGATTTTGTTTGCTTCCTGGAGGACGGTGAGGGAAGCGCTTTACATCCAAACGGGTCTTCCATCTGCTCTAAATCTACCCTTCTTCTAGGACACCTAGACAGTAGCCAGGCACTGGCACTCCCTCTCCAGACCCCACGCCCAAAAAGCCTTCTGAGGCAGGGTGCGCGAAGGACTGAGTGGGGCACTCACAGGAGGGCCCGGAGCCACGAGTCGGTACACATGACCTGGGTGCAAGAACTCGAACCAGCGGACGGAGGAGCCCCGGAAGATTAAGTGAACCTGGGAGGGAGGGAGGAAAGAGGGAGTCAGGTGCTGCGGTCCCAGACAGGAGCTGGGGCACACGGCACCGGGCCTTAGATCTCTGCAGTCCCAGTTTACCTTCTGATCCTTGTTCTCCTCTCCTTTGGGCTCGGGTGGGCCCCACACACTCCCCTCCTTCCTCTGGGTGCCCCCAAGCCAGCTCCCCGATACGTGGAAACTGAGGATGGGCTTGGGCACCTCTGGGTTAGCTCCTGGGGGGACACAAAAGTTCCTCTTCACCAGGGCCTCCTTGTGGGACAGCAAGAACAGTCGGCTCTGCTCTACATGGGGGCCATCTGGGAGGGTGGGCTCTGCCTGAGGTGGGAGGGAGGTGGCCGAGTGCATCAAAGGTCTGGGCACAGGCAGGATCAGGGCATCGGCCAGGAAGAACTGGATATAGACTCTGTTGGGAGAGACAAGGAGTAGGTTTCTTAGTGATGCGCACCCTGGGCCCCATGGGCCCTCACGCTCCACCGCCGCCACCAGGCTCTGCCCTGCCCTGCCCTGCCCCTCAGAGACTCAGATGCAGCCACGACCCCCGGGAGCCAACCTGGCCTGCTGCTTCTGGATGAAGCCTGTCATGTTCAGCTCCTTACAGGAAGGGAAGTTGCTTCTGACATTCCTCTCTATGACCAGCTGGAACTTCTCTGTCCGCACCAAGCAACCTAGAGAGAGAAAGTTCTCTGCTTTGACAAGAGGGATGGGCAATGAAGGAGACTGCCCTGCAGGTCTCACCACCCGTCCCAGGCCTGAGCTGCTCCCCTAACACAACACGAAAGCCCAGACCTGAACCCCACCTCAGCGGGATGATATCTCTAAGGGAGAAACCATCCCAGCCATGCGTCCAATCCTGCCCCTGATCTCCTAGGCTGAAAGGCTCAGTGACATTCCTTTACAGGAATGCTCCTGTCCATAGGGCTCAGCAAGCTCAAACCAAGAAATGTCCTGCTGGCGTGCCCGCCCGCGGCTACGGTGGGAGAAATAAAGGTTGGGAGTTGGCGTTCTGGCTGGAGAAACCCTCGCTCCTTTTCTCTGCCCATACCGGGGTCCCAAACTTGTCCCAAAACTTGCGAATCAACATAGGCTACTTCAGCATTTCAAGAAAATCCTAGCGGGTGCCTCCTCCCCAAACCTCCTGTTCCAAAACCCTCCCCATCCTCCCCCTTCTCTGCACGTCCCAACTCCAAACCTATGAACCGGGAGTCAGTGACGGGCTGAGAGTGCTTGGCCAGGATGAGGCAGGGGAGAGAACCGGTTTTGTCCCTAAGTTGCAGACAGCCTTTATGAGATGAAGCCGCCAGGACCCCAATTAAAATCTGCAGGGAGACGAAGGACAAGGTACGGCTACCATGCGCCAGATGCTATGTTTAACGTTAGCTACAGAAGATACAGTCCCTGACCTGAAAGGACTTATGTTGGAGTGGGGAAGAGGGATATGAAAGGAAGAGCCATGCATTCACACGTTTAGTGGCGGCGGAGAGCGTACGAACTGAGCTTAGAACCAGGAGACCATACGGGACCTCACAGGGTACTGTAAGGACTCTGCGTTTTCTCTTACGTACTCTGGAAGGAACCAGAAAAGGATTTAAAGCGAAACAGCTCTGTGAGCCCAGACCTTCCCTGTCTGCTGCAGGGAGAACGGATGGGGCGAGAAGAGACGGGGTGGTCTAGTTAGAGACTGTGCAGCCACAGGGACGGGGAAGGATGACGGTAGCGGCAGTGAGGGCGGCCAAGAGAGAAGGCCTGCGTGCCGCCTGCACCCCACCTACCTGGGCTGGGTGGGAGGTGGCGGGCAGCAGAGTGAGCCAGGACCAGGACACTCGCTGATTGAGCTGGCAGCTGGTCAGATAAGAAGACTCCGGGAGGGGCAGGAGGGTCTTGGGGTCAAAGGCGGCCCAGGCCCTGCACCGGCCCTCATCTTTCAGGGTGGCCAGAGTAGGGAAAGAACAGGGGGTCTGCAGCCGCATGTACTGTGGGGGATGGAAGAGAAATCAGAGCTTGCGGCCATGCGTCGCACAGGGCATGAGCTCCGCCGCCCCTGCTTCCCGTGCACACTCGCACCTTCTGCAGCGGACAGTGATGCGGCTCCTCAAGGATCTCCTTGTGTGCATTCCGACGCATGCTGCCTGGTGGAGACAGGACATCCAGGACAGGAGCCAGGAGCTGCAGTCCCGGACTGGGGTTCCCCGGAGTGGAGTGCTGCAGGAGCTGGTGGTGTCTCAGCATGTGGGGACACAGCCTGGGCCAGGAAGGGAAGTGCTCATGTGTCCCGAAGGGGGACGTGTCTGGCAGGATCCTGCTTCCCCAGCCCCTGGCCCCGCCAGTCCTCGCCCGCCCATACCCCTGTCCTCCTCACTTGCCGGCCAGCTCCTCCAGGGCCCTGGTGGCCCACAGGTACAGGGGGAGGCCCAACTGGCGTTCCCATACCAGCTGCTCGAACAGGGAGGTCCCCTGGGCCTGGTAGAAAGACTGAGTCTCGGGCTTCTGACAAGAGAAGCCCCGCAGGAGAATGGCACCGTGGAGGCAGGGGGCGAGCACTGGCCTTCTGGTCCCTCCGCCCACTGACTGCAGGAGGTGAACATCCTGGAGCTGGAGAAAAGCAGAAAAGGTGAATTAAGCAGGGGTGAAACCCTCGGCTCAACAATCGCTGACAGGGTTCCCTGCGGACTCCTACTGCCCGGTACCCAGAGAAACAGCATTTCTCCCAACGGGGCTTTCCTTCCAGCTCCCCTGCGCCATCCGCACAATGCACTCCCCCGTGGGAGGCCTTCATCTCCCACAAGCTCCACTCGGCTGTCCTGTGGGCCGGGAGGCTCTTGGCGGGTGAGGCGCCTCGACCCATCAGGCCGCCCGAGACCGTCCGAGACCGTCCGGGCCCCACACCTGAGACTCGGCTCCAGCCTCTCCTCCTCCAGGTGGAAGCCCTTCCGGAAAGGAGGTGCTCCCGGGGCCCCAGCCTCTCCTCCTTCCTGACCTGAGCCCCCGTCCAAATCGTTGCTGGCACTAAGTATGCAACTCCCGCCCTCCGACACACACCTATTCTTTTCCTATTTTTGCTGCGGGAGATTCCACCCTGTTGAGGCTGGTGTGTACCGGGCCGCAAAGGTAGAAGCTGCCAAGCGCCTTTGTGTCCCCAGCCCTGACGCCTCACGTACCTCCAGGGAGACCCCCGGCCGCACCACCTTCCTCAGGCTGTGGAACTGCTGGTAGGCGAGGCAGAGCGCCAGCTGCCCATCCACCTCATAGAGGCCGGCCGGCTGGCTCAGCACGCCAGTGACCTTTCCCTGCGGAGAGGCCAAAGGTCCAGCTGGTCCCTCTTTCCTTCCTCTCTGGAGACCCGCACTTCCGGTTCCTCCTCCCCTATCCACCCCCACCCCCAAACCAAACTCTCGGATCTCTCCTTTTCGCTCACCGAGTAGGATAAGAGCGTCGAGTGGCGGACAAGAGCCGGCTCCCCATCCCCATCCTGGGAGCTGCTGGGCACGGGGGGCGGCGCGGGGTCAGCCTCCAAGAGGGGCCCATCCAGCTCCAGCTCCAGCTCTCGCACACATTCCGGTTTCAGTGGCAGCAGGTGGGAGGAAGGACTGGTGGTCCACACGCGGTAACAGTGTCCACGGATTCTGACGACCCGCAGCGCTGTCAGCACATAGGACCTACCAGGCCAAAGGGCTCGGTGCCACACCAGCTGGGCGGGGATCTGGCTCGTGCGGGGGCAGGCAACACGGCATATGAGACGCTGCCCATGACGCTGCCCATCTGCCAGAGTCTCTCCCCATCGCAATCTGACCGCAACGACCCGCTCCTCGTGAGTTCTGCCTCGGCCTCTGCACGCGCTGACAAGTCATTCTTACCCTTCCGGATCGCCTCCCTCTCACAGGCGATCCCAAATACCCCCCAGTGCTTCCCTCTGGACGTAAACCATCCCTACAACATCCTCCAAAATACAGAAACTTTCCACCCATGACGGCTGGCTTTCGCATTTCCCCATCCCACCCTGCAGCACACAAGTCACTTTCATCTATTGAACCGATACCTACGGGGTACATAGAGAGTTGGGAAGGGGACAGACATGAAAGAAATACAACAGGCTGGTCCCTCGCTCCCAGCCTATCTCAGCCCACTGGGGAACACAGATGCCAACTCACGTAGCGATGTGGAACTGCATATGACCAAGTAAACAAAAACCACACACACTGGGCAAGGTTTCGGGGACAGACAGCTCAGGATGGGTGGGAATGAGCGGGAAGACCCAGTGGAAGAACTGAGGCCCACACAGGGTCCTGAACAGCGTCTGTGGTTTGCCCAAGTTGGGGGCGTGGGGGACGATTCCAGCAGGAGCAGCAACACGAAAGCGCTCAGAACTCAGATGAGTAAGGCAGCGAGAACACCGGCTGGGATGGAAATGGACCACAGGACACAGAAACGGGAGAGTCAAGAGGAGGGGGAAAACCCAGCAATGAGCTGCTGAAGACTCAATTTTACAGGAAAACGAGAACCGTCGAAGTACGGAGAGAAAACCAGCCGCAGACAGCAGGGTGTCAGACGGACTGCAGAACGTGCTTGTTGAGCGATTTCAGCACAAGGGGAAGAAGGACGGTTCCCAAATCTACCCTGTGGGGCGTACTCCTCCCACAGGCCCCACACAGCATGCTGCCGCTCGCAGGGGCTTCAAAGCCCACTGACCCAGGACACTCGAGCCTCATAGATCTCCACTTCTACCCCAGAACCAGGTGAGTCCTCGGCCGCCACCCCTAAGTCACCGGTGCTAAGACCTGCCTGACGGTTTCTGCTTGTGCGGAGCCAGGGGCCAGCAAACGCACGGCAGTGCTTCTGCTCGTCCCCCGCTGCCCTCTGCTCTCAGACTCTGTCTCACTGGGACCGCAAGGATCACAGCCCCTCCTCCTGTATTCAGACGCCCCTTCTATTCCTCTGTCCGAATGCCAGGATCTGCACGTGGACCGCGAGCCCTGCCTGTCTGGCCCCCCTGCGCCCCGAGGCCACTACAGCAGGTCACCAGGGCTCTGTGTCCTCTACTCCTCTTTGAAGACAAGAGCCCTACCTGAGGAGGTCAGACCCATGTCACCCGGCGCCAAGCCCTCTCCGGCAGGGCCCCGGTAACTGCTCAGCAGCCTCTCATCCCCTGCTGCCTGGCATGGCAGTTACCCTGAACCAGGGTCCGGTCCTTTATTTCCAAGAGATGATGATCTCAGCTCCTCCATCACAGAAGACATCCCCTGGGCTCATCTAGGGTGACAGTATGTCTCCAATATGTCTGTGGCAGCCTACAAACACAGCAAGATCACTTCTCCCCTGAGCCAACTCCGCCCTGAGCAGCATTTCCACTGGGCTCAAGGAGACGTGGAAGGGTCTGATGCAAAGAAAATGCAGAAGCTCCTCTCTAGGTCGGTAGCAGAAATGAGACCAGAAACTGGGGTGGCTCCTAAGCATTTTCCGTTTTAGCATTTCCAGTTCCTTTACCCGCTCATCACTGTCACTCAAGCTTATGACACAGACAGACACAAGAATTCTCCCAGCGCTAATAAATGTCAGAGATCCCTTTTTGATACTCATATGAGAGCCTTTTTCTCCCTTGTTTTGAATACTTCTGAAATGTTATTCAGATAATGATGTAAGTCATTAGACAACAGCGTAAAAATTAACGATTCTAAAATCGTACCAGTTGATGTAGAAAGAGTGAATAACAAAGTACCAAGTTTTTTAAAAAGTGCACATAGCCAAAAGAGAAAAAAAAGGGCTTGATAGTGCTGAGCTGAATAATTTTCTCGGTCATCCTGCTGATGCAGAGGAAAAACAAGTGATTCCGACAGGTTTTGCTCATCACCGACGATACGCAAGTCGTCTACTCAGATGAAGGGCGTGACAGGAAGTGCGTTCCCTCCTTCCTGCGTGGGGGAGTAGTTCCCCCAGCAACGGTGCTGTCCCAGGCAACAAGGCCCCCGCCCCCAAGCCGGCCTCCTTTCCAATGTGGCCCTGCTCTGACGTTCATCTCTCCTGCTAAGAGTCCTGACAGCTCCTCCACACCTCCACGACCCGGCACTGACCCCCGTTCTCACCTGCACGACAATGGACACGTGGCTGCCAGCTGGGGAGCCGTCCCCGAGAGACAGGACAAAGTGAGCTTTCTTCTGACTCCTCACCAGGGCGCTCACTCGAACCAGCTTCCCAGCCAGGTTCGGCTGCACGCCTCTCAGCTTGCCCCTAAGGAGGGAAGAAACACAAGAGGGAAAAGGCATTTTTATTTCCTTTTCCCCCACAAATGCTTTCCCTTCTGCTGTAAATAAGCCAGCGGTAATTTAAAATTTCCCTAGCCCAAAGCTGTTATCCCAAAGACGTCCTTCACACTCTTCCTGACCTCAGATAAGACAAACTTCCTTTGAAGATTCGCACTCAACATTTGAAGAGGCCCCATCATTCCCCTGACTCTGGTGGGAACACCCCATCCTCCCCACTGCTCTCAGGACTTTTCCCTCCCACCTGCCAGTTTCAACGCACTCCATCCTCCCCGAGACGGGGGAGGATTACCTGTGTCTGAGCAGGCGGGAAGCAGTCTCTGGGTAGAGAACAGGGAGAGGGGTGGGGGGCCCAGGACTGGCGGTAGAGGGGCACACTGGCACCGGGGCACTCAAGAGCTCCAAGTGTCCTTCCCCGGATGCATTCCACCTGGCAGGAGGGAGGTAACTCCAATTGGGGAACAGGAAGAGACGGCCCAACCAAGACAGGTCCAGATCTATGAGCTAGAAAAGACCAAGAGCAAGGGTTACCCTGGGCCCTAGCATCCCACCCACCCTCCTCCACCTTTCTTCCCTTAGAGACCGAACTGCCTGGCTCCCTAGAGATCCTCCTTGTGAGGCTCGGAGACATCTGACCTCCGCCCTTCTACTCACCTCGCAGGTCAGGATACCAGTGTTATCTTTCACATAGACATCTCCTTTCCTGCACTCTTGTTCCAAGTCCGCCGAGAGGTCTGTGAGCGTCCCTAAGAGTAACAGCCGCTCCCGGGGCAGAGGAGTTCCATTTGGTCCAGCCCCTTGGGCCCAAGTCTGGTACATACTACTGCTCCAGGACAGGTGGCTGCAGCACGGGAGGTTCTGGTGGGTCTTGAGGTCCTGTACTGAGACAAAGCTGCAGAGGGAAGGAAGCAGAGGTCCTGCAAAGCTGCCTCCAAGCCTAGGACACTACCCTCAACCCCAACAAGTTCCCCCAAAGCCCAAGGAAAGATCAATGGAAAACACAGACTAAGAGGGGAGTTGGACTGAAGGGCAAGAACTTTAGGGCTAAGAGGCTAAGGAAATGAGCACGAGATCTGAGTCCAAGAACTGGCAGTACCTACGGAAGAGAGGAAGAAAGTGCTGAGTGAGACTCTGAACAAGACGGTGCCACAGAGAGGACCCAGAGAAACGAAGGCGTGTAGCAGGAGCCTGGGGGAATGAGCATGGGGAGAACACTTGACCACACTCAGCTCCCCTGACAGCATCTCGGCTCTCAGCTCCACAGAGAACCCCGATGGGCCGCTAGAGCATGTGCCAACAGCTCGACCTCAGCGGCCCCAGCCAGGCTTTCTTCCTAGTCTGGGATATCACAGAACTCGAGACCGGGGGGCGGGGTGGGGGAGGAAGCAGGCTGAGGTGGGAGTCCATATCAAGAGCGCCCAAAATCTCCAGAGATGCTTGAGATCAGCCATTCCCCAGGCAAGCCTCCCTGCCAGTGGTGAGGTACAGCACTGAGAATGTGGTAACAGCAAATTTTCCAAAGCTGTGATGGATTCACATCTACGATCCCTTTATTCCGCACACACTTGCCTTCTCATGTCTTCGGAGCAGAAGGGTAAGGATAAAGGTACGAACTGTCACAACTTACCCTGCTCACTATGCCCGTGAACGTCGCCCCCGTGAGAGCACTAACAGCTGGGAGCGCCGTGCCGGGTGGCCCACTCCCCGTCCACATCTGCTTCATGCTTTCCCCAGGGGCTTCAGACGATATAAATGGCAAAGATGGAGACTAGCACGTGTTGAGTCCCGGCTACGCACACGTTATACTGGGTCCGTTCACACTCAGTAACGCACTGAAGCTTCACCCAAAACCCCTGTGAACATCACCAATGAGGAAACGTCCAGAGGTCAGGTACACGGTGGTGTGGGTGGCAAAGCCAGGGGGGGGTCTCACTCAAAAGTCCATGTTCTTTCCCTGTGTTTCTGTACTTCTCTAAAGGCCCAGGACAAAGCCACTGGAGAGAGCGCTTTCTTTCCCCTAGGCACCTTCAGGACAGAAAATAGTAAGGACATGGGTCACTTGTCCCGGATTCTTCAGGGGTCTAGGTCAGGAAACTGAAGCTGAGAACTTGGAATCCTTGCATTTGTCACTGATCTCCAACTTTCAACGTGCAGCACACTGCCCGGCACACAGCAGGCACTCCACGAGGAAGGGAAACATGGATGAATAAAATCTTTGGACCCATCAAATAACTCCTATTCTAGCCTCGCCCACCCTACTTTAAGCACTATTCACTTCAACACATCGTGCCATCTAGTTTACATTTATCTTGAAGAACGGGAAGCTTATTTACAAAGATTCCTTTCAGGAACCTTTTCTAACAGTTTCCGACTTACCATTTTCCCACCATTCTAGTAATGCCCAAATCTTGAGAGATCTGGACCTTTCTTTCTCGGATTAGACGGTGATCACAGAGGCCACTGGGCACATGCTCAGGCACCCATGGGAGACGAACCCCGCTGCATGAGGCTTCACGGCAATCACAACCTTCTCGACCACGACTAATCTATAGGTAGCTCTCTGTCCCACGTGGCAGGACGGTTTTTTAACGAGATTTCACTGTGTCTACATAAATAACGTATTTAATCCTGATAGTTAGGTATGTGGACAAGCACTGAGGGAAACGGAGGAAAACCTGCAGCCAGTGAAGTAGAATGAGAAAAGCTACATAGGAGGAAAAGACAAAGGCCCCTAGGTAGGTGTGTACAGAGAAATTACTTTGGGATTGAAATATCATTTACTATCCATCAAATACACACCAAACCCACTTTCGTAACAAGATAAATAGCAGATCTGGGAATGGTTCAGGACACAGATGCACACGGCCCCGTGTGTCCTCTGGCACACGTCTGCAGTTGCGATGGCACATGTGGACCCGATGAGCCCGCACCTCCCTTCAGGACACCGGGTGCTGCCGGAGAAGGGGAGGAACCCACCGACCACATCAGGACGGAGCACAGAGGAGACACCACTACATCTGTAATGTTTTACTTCTAGTAAAAAAGAATTGAGGCAACTACGGCAAATGGTAAGGTTTTTACAAGCTGAGCACTGAGTCTGGACTGCGCACGGGGTGAGCACGTGCACTGCTGAATTTGGAGGGCTTTCATGTTCACAGTGAAGGCAGCAGTGAGTCGGCCGAGTCTGGTGCAGCAGCACTTTGAGTCACCATTGTTGTATAACGGCGTCCACGGATGAGCAAAGTACCCAGAATTCTGAAAACGACGTTTTGGATAACACAGAGTACAATGAAGCTGTCTTTTCAGCAAAGATCCTTTGCCCCTACTGACGGAGACGGACTGTGGGGCCGAGTGAATGCCGCATGGCCACACGCAGTGTAAGTCCGGGGAAAAGCATCCCAAGCTCGCGTAGGGTTGGGAAATGCCTAATTCAACAAAGCTAAACAGACTTGTGCCTTTTTACTTTTCAGAGGATCAACGGTGACACACAGACTCCCAGAATGCCATGCAGCAGGTGGAATGAACGAGCTAGAACTCCCGACAGGAGGAAGTCTCTACTTCCAGAAAGTCAGGAGGTGAGCCAGACTCTACGGGACTCGGCTCAGGGGTGGGCGCACGTACAATAAAAAGACAAAGAGAAGGGCCTAATCCATCTCAATCTCGAGGTAACTACTCCGTGACTCAGCAAGGGCACTGCTAGGTAGGTATTTACCCAAAGGGTGCAAAAATAGAGATTCAAAGGGGCACCTGCACCCCAATCTTTACAGCAGCATTATCAACAACAGCCAAACTGCAGAGAGAGACCGGATGCCCACCGACACACGAATGGATAAAGAAGAGGCGGTATATATATGTGGTGTGTGTGTGTGTGTATGTGGAGGTGGTCACGCGTGCGCACACACACACACACACACACACACACACACACACACACAGGAATACTACTCATCCATCAAGAAGAATCAAATCTTGCCACTTGCAATGACATGGATAGACCTAGAGTGTATTAGGCTAAGTGAAATAAGTCAGAGGAAGACAAATACCATATGATCTCACTCATATGTGGAATTTAAGAAAGAAAACAGATGAATGTAAGGGAAGGAAGAAAACATAGAGAGCCAAATAAACCGTAAGAGACTCTTAGCAATAGAGAACAGGGGCACCTGGGTGGCTCAGTGGGTTAAGCCTCTGGTTTTGGCTCAGGTCATGATCCCAGGGTCCTGGGATCGAGCCCTGCATCAGGCTCTCTGCTCAGCAGGGAGCCTGCTTCCCCCTCTTTCTCTGCCTGCCTCTCTGCCTACTTGTGATCTTTGTCTGTCAAATAAATAAATAAAACCCTTAAAAAAAAAATAGAGAACAAACTGAGGGGGGATGGAGGGAGAGGAGTGGGGGATGGGCTAGACAGGTGATGGGGATTAAGGAAGACACTTGCTGTGATGAGCACTGGGTGTTGTATGTAAGTGATGAATCACTGAATTCTGCTCCTGAAACCAACATTGCACGGTGTGTTAACTAACTACAATTTAAATAAATATCTGGAAAGGAAAAATAAATAACTAAATAAAATTAAAATGTTAAGCCAAGGGGCGCCTGGGTGGCTCAGTGGGTTAAGCCTCTGCCTTCAGCTCAGGTCATGATCTCGGGGTCCTGGGATCGAGTCCTGCATTGGGCTCTCTGCTCCACAGGGAGCCTGCTTCTCTGCCTACTTGTGATCTCTGTCTGTCAAATAAATAAATAAAATCTTTAAGAAAAAAAAAAAAGTTAAGCCAAAACACTATATTTTAACTAACTGGAATTAAAATAGCAACTTAAGGGGTGCTTGGGTGGCTCAGTCGGTTAAGCATCAATTTTTTTTTTTTTTAAGATTTTGTTTATTTATTTGTCAGAGAGAGAGATAAGAGAGAACGCACACAAGTAGGGGAGCAGCAGGCAGAGGTTCAAGAACCAGGCTCCCTGCTGCAGGACTGGATCCCAGGACCCTGGGATCATTACCTGAGCCAAAGGCAGACGCTTAACTGAGTCACCCAGGTGTCCCAAGCATGGACTCTTGATTTTGGCTCAGGTCATGATCTCAGGGTTGTGAGATCAAGCCCCGAGGCTCCTGCAAGGCATGGAGCCTGCTTAGGTTCTCTCCCCGTCTCCCTCTGCCCCTCTGCCCTCTCTCTCCCTCCCTAAGAAAAGATAATAATAAAAAATAAAAATAAAAACTTAAAAAAAAAAACACACCCCACATCGGAAACAGCGGTTACTTCTATGAGGTCAACAGGTTCCTTTCACAGGACTTTCGGAGCCTTGATATGTTAATGAGCCTGTGACTTTCCTAGAAAAGCTTGTAATATCATATCCAATGTGTCTCAAACTTATTTGGCCATGGAATCCTTTTCTCACAGTACTTTATCAATACTGCCTTCCTCAAAAAAAATATATATATATTGCCTTCCTCCCCTTAGAACCTTGCCCCTCGTGCTTCTCGTTTTCCCCTAGTTAACTCTAGGTCCTTCTTCAGTCCCAAAGTTAACCTCCTCCCGAACCCCTCCTCGCCTTACCTGTAGCTGAGGGGCAGGGGAAAGCCCTGGTTCTTTCCCTGGGACAACCAGCTGGTCTTCACACAGTCAATTACCGACTGAGTCAACTGCGCATCGGGCTCACTACCAGCCGGACACAGGGTCTCCTGGATGAAGGTCCGGGCAGCCTCCAACCAGGCTTGCTCCTGAGGAAAGGGAATCTAGTTAAAACACCTTCTTAACCACGCTGCCCCCCAGTGAAATTCTGGGAATAAAGTAATAGAAAAAGAAATCCGGAGGACACGTAAATAAACAGTACTGGAGTTTAGAACTTGGAAGAAACCTTAGAAGACTTAGCCCGGTCGGTCTTCAGACCTCTGGCCATCCCGCTGTGGTCTTCCCTGTTTCTCTCGTAAGTACACCGTGAGGGGCGCCTGGGTGGCTCAGTCGTTGAGCGGCTGCTTTTGGCTCAGGTCATGATCCCAGGGTCCTGGGATTGAGCCCCATGTCGGGCTCCCTGCTCTGCGGGGAGCCTGCTTCTCCCTCTCCCACACCCCTTGCTTGTATTCCCTCTCTCACTGTCTCTGTCAAATCGATAAATAAAATCTTAAAAAAAAAAAAAAAAAAAAAAACAGTAAGTACCCCATGATAACCAAGTGCACCGCGAGAGCAGTGCGGGTGCTCCCACACCTTCCTCTAGCAGACCCGTACCGGTACTTAACATGCCCAACTGGAATACATACTGCCTCGCAATTCCTTCTCTGTCCCCGGCACCATGCTGCTCCCTTCCTGGAGCTCCCACAGCACCCTGCACGTACTTCCATAGACAGCCAACAACCATCACATCCAGTACTGTCCTGTCCCATCTTACGTGGGGTGCGCTTCTAGAGCCAACAAATTGAAACATCCTTTAAGTTGCTCGTACATAGGACACAATACTATACAGCAATGTGTACACGTAAGCGTAAATACACCGAATTATACACAGTATGTGAAACGACACAGGTAGACAACAGTCTCTAATCACTCCTTTCCGTAGTCCTGTACACACATCTGAGTTCCTGTGAGCTCAATCAATGTAAGACGCAATCCCATGGATGTGTTTTCTCTTCTGTCTTCAGCTGAGACACAGACTTCCTAAGGAGGACATGAGCCACACTTATATACTGGCCACACATTCTGGACACATAGGCGCCTCGTGACGCCTAGCTAGCTCTAGAGAAGGGGACCAGTTTGGCCTACTTCCAACACTAGACTGGTTTATTTTAAAATTCTGACAGGGGCACCGGGGTGGCTCAGTTGGTTAAGCAGCCAACTCTTGGTTTTGGCTCAGGTCCTGATCTCAAGGTCCTGAGATTGAGTCCCCTCTCCCCAAGTCGGCTTGAGACTCTCCTTCCCTCCCCCCACCCCACCTCCGTGATGGCAGGTATGCTCTCTCCCTCTCTCTCAAATAAATAAATCTTTAAAAGAGATAATAAAATTCTGACACCGTTCAATAGTACTGAGGGCTAAGTCTTTCATCCTTCTTGATCCCCAGTGATAATGCTAAACCATTACAGCTCACTCCCTGTCCCTCCAATGCCCTTCTATTAGCCTTCTGCTCAGTCCTCCACATTTGCTCAATCTTTAGCATCTTTTTTTTTTTTTAAAGATTTTATTTATTTATTTGACAGAGAGAGAGAGAGACCACAAGAAGGCAGGGAGGCAGGCAGAGAGAGGGGGGAAGCAGACTCCCCGCTGAGCAGAGAGCCGGATGCGGGGCTCAATCCAAGACTCTGAGATCATGACCTGAGCTGAAGGCAGAGGTTTAAACCACTGGGCCTCTGAGGCGCCCCTCAATCTTTAGCATCTTGACAGACCTGTCTTCAGGTTCTCTGTACCTCTCTGTACCTCAGTGACCTTGTGAACAGCTCTGTCACCTTCACTCCACCTAGCCAAACACGGTCACCCATGGTCACGGTTGTCAAAAATGGACTAGGTCAGAGCACCTGGGTGGCTCAGTCCGTACAGCACACGACTCTTGGTCTCAGGGTTGTGAGTTTAAGACTCACGTTGGGTGTGGAGATTGCTTAAAAAGGAAATCTTCCCCCCCAAAATTGGACCACGTCATCATTCAGCACTGCCTCTGAGACATAATGAGAGCCTCACCCAGACTCTGACTTTCTGTCTTCTCTCTAGCTCCTGAGGACCTGTCCACCCCTTGGCACATGGCGTACTACTGTTTCTCAGTGTGGCGTCACTGTCTCAGAATTCATGGATTTCATCTACTGAGTCAGAATCCTGGCAGGAGTGGGGGACCCAGGAGTCTGTATTTTATTTTATTTATTTATTTTTTTTTTTTTAAAGATTTTTATTTATTTGTCAGAGAGAGAGAGCAAGCACAGGCAGACAGAATGGCAGGCAGAGGCAGAGGGAGAAGCAGGCTCCCTGCCAAACAAGCAGCCCGATGTGGGACTCAATCCCAGGACGCCGGGATCATGACCTGAGCCGAAAGCAGCTGCTTAACCAACTGAGCCACCCAGGCGTCCCAGGAGTCTGTATTTTAAAGATTTATTTATTTAGAGAGAGTGCATGCGTGCAAGCAGGGGGAGGGGCAGAGGGATGGGGGAGAATCTCAAGCAGACTCCCGGCTGAGCACAGAGCCCAACTCGGGGTTCAACCCCAGGACTCTGAGATCATGACCCAAACTGAAACCAAGAGTGCGATGTTTAACTGAGTGGGCCACCCAGGAGCTCCAGGAGTCTGTATTTTATTTAATTTTTTAAAAAAGATTTTCCATTTATTTATTTGAGAGAGAGAGAGAGCACAAGCGGGGGAAGGGGAGCGAGAGAGGGAGAAGCAGGTTCCCCACTGAACAGGGAGCCAGATGTGGGGCTTGATCCCAGGACCCCAAGATCATGACTCAAGCCAAAGGCAGATGCTTAACCCACTCAGTCACCCAGACGCCCCAGGAGTCTGTATTTTAAATAAGCTTCCCATATCACACTGATAAAAACTGAAGTCTGAGAACACTATACACTTTCCCCTCGGTGATGTCTGCCACGGGATATCCTTACTGGCCATCCACAGAAGCTCCTTTAGTTGAGATCTCTCTCTCTCTCTCCCTCTCTCTCTCTCGTTATATCCATCTGCCTACCAGATTCTCCACCTGGCCAACCAGAAGGCACCACACATCCCAACACTGACCTTTAAAAACAAAACAAAAACAAAGCAAACCCACTCCTTCCGACGCTTACTAATCAGCA